GTGAATGCGCTTTTCCGTGTGTGCATGTGGGTGAGTGTATTGGTGCATGAGCGCCTCAATGCATGCTATGATCTGGCTAATACAGACATTTATGTACATATGTAAAAGTGCGTGTGCTTACATGTATGCAATATGCAGGCGAGCACACCCGTTATATGACCGGAAGGTAAACAGCATGCCACATACACACACACACGTGGATGGCAATACAAACATATTCGTTATTGCAGCTCCGCCAACGTCCGTGTGCTGGGTCAATGGCAGCCATCCGACACGTACCGGGGTCATGTGCAACGCCTGGCATGACCGCGTGGCTGCAGTGTGTACCAAGCGTCTCATGTTTTGTTTTTGTATTCCGTCTAGTATACTGCATACGTACATACGAACATATTTGCACAGAATTCGTAGCGCACATGCTCTGCGTGATTGTATGCGGCGTGTGTATGAAGTGGGGTCACGCATGGCTGTGAGATGTGCGAAAATAAATCTGTGCATGACGACGACCGTTTTGTACCGTAGTTGGATTTGTGATAAATGTGTGCAAAATTTTATTCGATTTGTCGTGCACTTCGTTAAGCCCCTAAATTATATTTGTCATCAGAAATGCGTGCGCGCGTGTACTTAAATGAATAGAACGAGGGAGAGAGAGTGAACGAGCTTTATCACTTTAGTGCATTGATGCAGAGCATGGATCCTTTTATGATTAAGATAAACGTAAAGTAAAGCACAAGCTCGAATATACTTATGATCACATTTAACTGTACAGTATTAGATAATATAATATTAAAAAGTTAGTTTATATGCGACGAGAACCAGGCTCTAGGATAACATAATCGTACTTTCTGCTATTAAAACACAAAAACCAAACAAAGCAAACAAGAAAAAACGTTAACATCCCGAAACTAACCCGAAGTTATAATATTCTTCTCAGTTGCATTTTTTTATTTAATTTTTTTCGGTCAGTTTGTATGACAGCTATATGATATAGTGGTCCGATCAGAACAATTTCTTTAAATATTATACCGTTAACTCAGCTAATAATGCATGTAAAATTTCGAAGAAATATCTCAACAAATAAAAAACTTTCTATAGAAAGACATGATTTATATTGATCAGTTTGTATAGCAACTAAATGCTATAGTGGTTCGATTTGAGAAATTTCTTCGAATAATTTAGCGTACCCTCAAATAAATATCTATGCCCAATTTCGTGACGATATCTCGACAAATAAAAGAATTTTCCATATAAGCAGTTCATTCCGAACGTTCAGTTTATATGACAGCTATATGCTATAGTGGTCTGATCTTAACAATTTCTTCAGACATTGTAGCGATGCCTTTGATAATACTTCATGCCATTTTTCGTGCAAATATATGGTCAAATAAAAAAGTTGTTCATACAAGGCTTAATTTTACTTGGTTTGTTTATACTATGGGCAAAAACTGTAAGACTTTACAATTTAAAATTCGCACGAAAAGTCATTCGTCGAAATTTATTTTTCAGAGTTGGTATAACTGTCAGCGACATATCTGCCAAATGTCACATCAAAGCAATCATTATGGTTTAGTATAGCCTAGTATTTCTGAAGTACATAAAGTAGCTGCGGTGATTTTTGCAATGAGTGAAATTATTCAACAAAGATGTTCCATTAAATTTCGGGTACGGCATCAAATTTCTAAAGCTAAACGTTCAGAATGTCGGAAAAGGCCTTCAGTTATAATTGTTTATCACGAACAATTATTTTTAATTGATACAAGATATTCAAAGCGGATCAAGAACGCGTTGACGACGAAACACGTCCAGGAGGGCCATCAACATCAACTGATGATCAACACGTCAACGATCAAATCTTATTGGCATCGTTGAAATATCGGAAGGATCAGTGAACATCATTTTGATAGATCATTTACGTCTAAGAAAAGTGAAAGCACGATTGGTTCCAAAATCAAACACTTTTTTCGAAAAACCGCACCACGTTAACGTCTGTGAAATAATGCTTTCCGACTACTAGGATGTCGTGAAACGTATTATTGAAACGCTATAAGTCTTTGATCTATGCTTACGACCCGGAAACAAACGATACTATAAATCAACCAAATTTGGTAGCAAAAGTGAGTTGAAGCCGAAAAAACCACGTCAAAGCAAGTCAAAAATGAAAGTTATGCTGACAGTTTTCTTCGATGATCGTGGTGTGATGCACTCCGAATTTCTACCGATCGGCCAAACTGTCAATAAAGAATACTATTTCAGTCTTATGCATCGTTTGTAGGAAGCTATTCGTAAACAGAGGCCGGAATTATGGGCTGACAACTCTTGATTTTAACACTACGATAATCCAATATCGCATATTGCATTGATTCTTCGTGAGTGTTTCGCCAAATTTTCAATCAATACCGTGCCGTAACCACCGTATTTGTCTGATTCAGCTCCGTGTGACTTCTGGCTATTCAGCAAACTCAAACGAACGCTCCAGGAAACCGTTTTGAGTCTGTTACTTCTTTAATTTTGTTCTACTTTTCAATTTAAAAGTTATCATTTCTCTTCACCAATTTCAATTTGATAATAACAACTAAGAAAACTGGGAATATAACGACACTTTCAGTTATCACTTTATTGCTGTAACATCACAAACTTTTATTTGAAAAAATATATTCAATAAGATACGGGACAAATAAGACTCAGCGTTGTATAGAAAAAATATATGTGAAATAATTAACAGATTTCGTATATTCTTGGAGATACCCGACGATTTTTTCTTGAGTTAAAAGCGCAACGAGAATAAAGTATATTTCGCTATCAACTCGAATTAACTGGTTTTTTATTGTTTAGCATTGTGTTTCAACCAAGTTGGCTTCACTGTTGAAATATCTGATTTGGTTTATTGTGCACTTCGACAATTCCTCAAAGGACACATAAAGATGAAGTCTTTACAGTTTACACAATAAAAATCAGAGCTTTAACTGCACTGTGAAAACTTTTCAGTTGCTCATAAAAATGAACGCGTAAATTCGAGTTTGTCACGTGTGTATATTTCTTGAATGATTCAACTAAGAACTTTTAGCTCTGACTGTCATAAGAAATTCAGACATATACAAACAAGATTGAATCTTTTACGACATCGATTAAAGGGTACAAATGAAAGCCCTTATATAGGCAAGGGATTGACTGATGAGGCATTGATTGACTTCTACTATAAGGTGGGGTATCTCACAGAAAGTAGTCCTATGACTCTACGAGACCATAGTCAAGCTCATGATGTACTATGGTCGTGGTCAGAAGTATATATGCTGGCCTCAGTTCCAATTCAATCATTGCACTTAATGCCTTTTTGCATGTAGTGTCCACAGATATCGCCGGAAGGTATATGACCACTGTTGCTATCAGTCTCAGAGAATCTGGGTTGAAAAATGAACACATGTCAGAACATTCGAAAATTCGCACGCGCTTTAACTTATAACTGATCTTATGGATTATGGAGTCGCCAAACCAAATTCTTGTGGTTTTTTGTCTGCTCACATATCTGCAAAGAAGTTCTGATTGGGTGAACGCCGTTGAAGAAGAGGGAGAATGAGCGTTTTTATGTATGCGTCGAGGCTTGGGAGGAAGGTTAGACAAAGAATATATTATCAGGAATCCTGAATCTACTTCTGTTTCAGACTACTTGACTATTGCAGTGGTTTTTAAGCCGAAGCTGCTGTCTATAATATAAGAGTAGATTTCCTTGAGAAGTATAATATTCACTCTGATATCAGTTCGAGGGTAGTAGCCATTGCGCTCACTAACTGTGCGTACAGGGCTGGGTAAGGAATGCCTAACCCCGTTGTCAATGTGATCGAGTCACTTTGTGTAAATACTAGCATGGATGCCAGGTCACAGAAGAATCGCAGGCAACTGTGAAGCTGTTGAGATGAAAAAAGGCGAAATTTACCCTAGCTCCGCTATCAGTAGCAAAGAAACGGATCCCCTTCTTCGTATGTTCTGCTACTGGATAGCTAGGCATCACAGCAGTTTGTCCAGCGCTGGACTACCATCGCTGTCGTAAGACCAATTATGCCTCAAGATCGATCGTAAGAGAACCAGTGAACTCTTTGCACTGCAAAGAAGACAAGATAAAACCATCTCATTACTTCCTCCTTGATCGACTCACGCTTGCAAGATCAAGTCTTAAACACTAGCTAGGAGCTCATACTTTTAGATATCCCACCGCACTTTTGGAGTTAAATGCCTGAGACATTTAGCGAATGAAGCTTTAGAAATGAGTCGAAACCGAAAAAACTAGCCTGAAAGTGCTGAAGGCCATCCCAGTCGAGACTTATAGCAGGAGTTTTGAAATTTTGTTTACGCCTTGGCAGGCTTATATTGGCTCTAGAGGCAGGCTTATATTTGCAGGCGACGATAATTATTTGTACATAAATACCGAAAAATCTAGTTTTTTGCGCAGTCCGGGTCAATTTTGATCAGACTGTGTTAAACAGTTCGAGCAAAATTGATGAAACTTTGCCGTAAAATGAACCACTGTGTGAAACTAAATAAAGTCACATTTCGCAGAACTTTAACATAAACAATTGGCTGAAGAAAAACAAAATAAAGAATAAATGAAAGAAAGCGAAAAAAGAAATTAGACAAACATTTGTGGAAAATACGTGCAGCCAGCGTGCGGAAAACACTACTTTAAAATTTTACTGTTATTATTACTTTATTGTTATTACTATATTTTTGTGCTGCATGAACGTGAGCATAACAAACAACTGCGCAGCACGAACACTATAATTGCAGCGCTGATGCTGGCGCTGCCGGCATTTTCACTGAATAAATAAGGCGAAGGTGTGAACCCGTGCAAATAGTCTAAGTGAGCAGTTCATAAAAATCGGTGATAAACAAGCGTTTAAAGCGCGAGAACTACCAATAAAATCACTGCAACGAGCAAGTGTAAAAACAACAACAACTCGAAATACGTAATACCCTCAAGGATCTCATACACGCACACGCCAACAGACAAAATGCAACTGCAGCTGCACAACACCCTACAACAACAACAACAGCAATTAACGCTACTACTCTTTGCTGGCACACTTGCCACACTACTACGGCCCACACTGTGCCACGCCGCCTACTCCACCAACTTGCACAATGACCCTGCTGACGTAGCCGACAACGCAGCTGACTATGACAGCTACGGCCACCACAACAGCAACAAGTATGTCAGTAAATGCGACAAAAATGCAGTGGCCGCACTCACCTTCCAGCTGAGCGGCAACAACCTGCACTGGCCTTGCGAGTCGACCAAGAGCATTTACGTCCAATCCGGCCGATATGTGCCGCGCAATGTGATCGTGACGCGCGCCCAACTGCGACGTGATGACGTGTTTGTGGCGCTGCCGCGCTACAAACATGGTGCGCCATTCACATTGGGTCGCGTGCAATTGAAGCGGGGTCAGTGTGTGGCCAAGATTGCGCCATATCCGTGCTGGGCCATACAGGAGGAGGGCAATTGTCAGGCGTTGCAGTCCGTCGTCGACATCGCTGTGGATCCCAATGTAAGTACATGCATCGTAAGGGAGCTGCTCGATTATGTCCAATGTACTATCGACGGTGTCGAGGGCCCTTTGGGGTAATAAATCTAGTTAGTTATCTTATCTGCCATATTTAGTGAATATTTAATTTATAGCAAATAACTAGCATATGCAACATATACCAACACACGCTCACATATAGTATATACATATGCATAAACCACAAATGTATGTTTGTGTGTGTGTGTTCGTGCTCTGACCGCCAATATTAAATTATGTGTTGTCGCCTTGACGTTGCAGACAAGGTCACAGCCGTTGGCACTGCGGTGAGCGGGGTTAGTCAGCATGCCACACAAAGCGGCGATAGCATCTGACATTACAATTGCAAAGTTTGTTTTTTTTTTGTTGCCGCTGGAAGCCATTGCGTATGCGTATAGAGGAAAGGCGGTCGGCCACTACTAGAAAAAAAGGAAAAATTCAGTAGAAAAGTTGTGCGAGAATTAGTTTAATGCAAAAAGGTCTGATGTGCCTGTCACTGGGCTATGCTCTTATCGCAGTCGTGTAACTATTTTTGTTCTCTCTATGTGTATGACAGTGTGTGTTCGTCCGAGTCTAGTGGCCAAGAGGCATATGCTTTGCTATCGCAGACGAGCCGCTTTGCATAGAAAAAGGAAAACTTTCACATTATCACTATTTACATAAATCAACTGCTTTTTGTATACAATAACAACGAAAAAGAAGAAGAGCTGTAAACTTCGGCAATACCGAAGCTGTAATACGCTCCACAAATAAATAATATATAATAAATATAAGTTTTCACACAAGAACTTCGGTTGATTGACCGTTTGATAGTTTTGAATTTATACCGTTGTCTTGGATATCTTGTAAACTAAAAATGTTTTTCATACACGGAGATCATTGCGACTGCTCTGTTTGTAAAGCGGCTATATGCTATAGTGATCCTATCTGAACAATTTGCACAGAAATCATATCTACATCTTGGCTAATAAAGAATTAAAAGGATTTCTCATCAAACAAAAAAATTTTCTTTAACAATCAATTGAAAAGTGCCCTGTTTACTATAAGAAAAACTCTTTTTTGGGGAAAATTAATTTTTAATTAATAAAATTTGGTTCCGTTCATGGATAATACACCGTTTATAGCGACCCTCTAACTTTGCTACACCATATTTGTAGCACAATTTGTGTTTTGCCTTAAAATAGACCTCAGTTTCGGTAATCACCTCTTCATGCGACGAACATTTCTTCACAGCGAGCATTCTTTTGAGCTCTGAGAACAGAAAGTGAATACGAAAGCGATTCGATTCACAATTCTCTAAATTGTAACACAGTGCATTGTCTTGCTGACACAGCACTTTCTTTTACTAAAAATGTGGTCTCATTTCGGCGATTTCGTCCTTCAAACGGTCCAATAACACTATGTAATATTCGCTGTTGTTGGTCCTTGCTTTTTTAAGGTAAAATCTATAAAATTTATTTCATGCGCATCACAAAATACTGGCGCCAAAACCTTGCCAGCCGACGGTTGTGTTTTTTCAAGCATTGAAGCGAGATCATCATCTGCAGTCCACCTGGATGACTGTCGATTGGAATTCGGAGTGAAATGATGTAGTCATGTTTCATTCTTTGTTACATATCGTTGCAAAAACTCGGGTTTATTACGCTTCAACATCTTCAAACACTGCTTGAAATCAGCAATTGGTATTTGTGTTTGGTCAAATGTGAGCACGCGCGGCACACACTTTGCACAGAGCTTGCTTATACCAAAATATTCGTGAATGATATGTTGTACATGTTCTGTTTATATCTTTAGTGTATCTGCTGTCTCGAACAACTTCGCCTTACTTTTATACAAAATTATTTTGTGGATTTTTTTTAACGTTTTCTCCGGTAACAAACTCTTTTGGGCGTCCAAAGCGTTCACGTTCATCGGTATTCCTTTCACCACATCTAAAATTAGAATATCAATTCTTAAGTATTTATGGAAGTCTGAAGCACCCTTGAACACTTTGTGAGAAGCCTTGGCGTTACATGCTGATCCACGATTGCCAATACAAATAGGATTTTATACAGTTTAAGATTTGCATGAGCCGTGGTGAAAACTAGAAACCAACCAATTACGACTTACAGAAATATTTCGGTTCAGTGAATAAAAGTTTTAAAGAATGGAGTATGCTTAAGTTTACCGTGTGAATCTATCAAAATTTTTTCATGTCTTCATACATTCTAAATCAAAAAACTTTTAAGCTTTGCGGCTGATGAACTTCGATATCGGTATGGAAGAGAAATACTGCGTTGGAATTTCAGAAAAATTCAAATCAATATGATTTTGGACAGCTTTCCAATTTTGTAAAGCTTTCTGAGAAACAAATTTGCGTCTTAAGAAGCTTTTACCTAGACTCAAATGACAAGATGATACCGAAACAACTTATGAACTTTCGTGAAATATCAAAGCTCAAATTTTATTGCGTAAAATATAAATATGTAGCCAAAATGGAAAAAATACAACAAAATTTCCAAAGATGTGTATAAGAGACAGCAGTCAGGCGCATTTGCCAAAGATTTTTTTTATTTAGCTTAATTTACTTTATTTTAATTTAATTTAATTTTAATTTAATTTAATTTGATTTAATTTTTTTTTTGTCAAAACATAATAATAAATAGAATCAAAAACATTTCGGCTGTAACTGACACAATAAAAATAACGCTAAACAAACAGCTAGTACCAGCTATCACCAGAATCAATAAGAACACACCTTAACACGCATACATAGTCACATACATATGTACATATGTATACCTAAAAACCAACATATTAATATTATTTATTTTACTTAGCTAAATATTTACGTTTTTTATTTTACTTTATGCTCTGTTTCCTTAGACGCTTTTCGCAGTAGAACACTCTTCGTATTGAACTTTATCGAATTACTTGCTTTTGTTTTTGTTTGTATCCATTTCATTTCAATTTGGTTCAGTCACCCAAACGCACTACAAGCGCATCCACTTATACATCAATACATTTGTATCTACACATATATTATAGATATACAAATATGTATGTCTGTATGTTTACAGTTAGGTAAATGACAGTTGAAAGTTTCAGTTCGAATTTAAAGCTTCGAATCTCATTCGCATCGTCGGTCTGCCACTTTTCAGTCACTAAGTGCAATAAGCAGATTTTAACAGTCATTGACAGATTGGCTGAAATCGAAAGCGAAATTTTATTTAATATTTAAATAGAATATTTATTTTGAGTATATATTTACTTTTCAGTGCAATTAACTTGTGTATGTATGTATTCGTGAGGTCGTTTACTTCTAATCTTCAAATATTTGATTTAAGAGAAAATTTCATCTAAAATTCTTAGTAAAATTTCATGCTGACAGACATACAGACATAATAAAGTATCTGAATTAGATAATTCTCTGCAAATCCCACTTAACAAATAACAAAACTTTCCTGATCGTCAATCCTAGCATGGCTGAAGAAGTTTTTCAATACAAAAGTAGATTAGATAAATTATTATTAGATTTCGATTTACTAGACCTTATACATATGTATGTATAGTATATCGATTTCTATATCTAACAAATAATGCCAACCGTTGTTGGTGGATTTTCCTGGGTCAGGGTCCCAAGAATTCGTCATCAAGTCAAGTTTCTGCTTCTACAATATTTTTTGCAGTATTTTAGCAACTCGTGACATTCATTTTTTTTTCATTTTTTGGCAATAAGAAAAGTTGCTTCATTCTAAAAGATATAATTCAAAAACTAAGGAAATTTTTACACGCGTCTTTTGAAAGTTATGACTAACTAAAAATCATATTCTAGTAGCGTCAACTGTATATTAGGCCGGGATCTTTTCAATTGACCTGTTACAATCATTTATTGGTTATTTAAATTTCATTTTGTGTATAAATTTAATTCAATTCCGAAAATAGACCGCTGGGTACAGCGTTACCCTGCGCAAAATGCGCAATTCGCTGGACTCGAAAATTGTGCTAATTTAGAATAGCTGCAACTACGCTGACAATTACGTAAAATATTCAGATTGCTGACAACGAAAATGCGGAGGCAAGAAATTTTCAATTCAGTTATGTGCAATTTCGTGGCATAATATTTAATATATTCCAGCTATTGCATGCAAAAACAATTGCAAGTGCATACGTATATATTATATATATATATATATATATGTATGTGTGTGTGTTTGTATGTCAGCATGGCGCTATATTTCGACACGGTGCGTTGGCCGTAAATTAAAACGCGGTGTGTGGGTGTGGCGTTCATAACTCACTGCTCGTTAACTGTATGCAGCCATTTGGCCACAATGCCAATGACAATGGCAGCCAGCATTAAAACGGACTGACGTTCGACCAAACGTCGCTGTTCGGTGTGGAAAATGCAGAAATATTATTATATGAGCGCGGCAAGTGCACACAAATATACATTTTATTATAAAATTTGGGAAAATGTATGAATACAAGCAATTGTGTGTTATACAAGCACACACTTATGCAACTGTATGTGTAAGTATGCTTGTTTGTGTTTGTGCACGTTTAAAGCATTAATGCAAAATTTATAATTTTAAATATTGGAAAAATAATTTAGAAAATATTTTTGTCGATTTTACGTGTGATAATGGAATTATTGGTTAATTAGAAAGCGAATTTGACATTATGAAGTGAAGGCATTATGAATAAAAGAGGATCAATTTGTATGGCAGCTATATGCTATATTGTTTCGATCGGAACAAATTTTTCAGAGATAATAGCGAGACTTTAAATATTAATCTATACCAAATTTGGGAAAGATACCTCGACAACTAAAAAAGTTTTTCATACAAGGACTTGATTTGGATCAATCTGTTTGTATGGCAGCTATATACTATATTGATCCGATCTATACAATTTCTTCGGAGATTGTAGCGATGCTTTGGATATTAATCTGTGCCAAATTTTGACAAAATGCTTGTACAAATAAAAAAGTTTTCCACACAAGGAGTTTATTTGGATCGGTCAGTTTGTATGGCAGCTATATGCCACATTGATGCGATCTGTACAATTTGCTCGAAAATCGTAGTTCTGATTTTGATAATAACATATCCAAAATTTCGGAAACATACTTCGACAAATAAAAAAGTTTTTCATACAAGGACTTGATTTGGATCGATCAGTTTGTATGGCAGCTGTATGCTATATTCATCCGATCTAAACATTTTATTCGGAGATTATAGCGATACTTTGGATATTAATCTATGCCAAATTTGGGGAAGATACCTCAACAAATAAAAAAGTTTTCCATACAGGGACTTGATTTGGACCGGTTAGTCTGTATGACAGCTTTGTGCTATAGTGGTCCGATATCGACAGTTCCAACAAATGAACAGTTTCTTAGGGAAGAAGGGACATTTATACAATTTCAGATTGATATTTTATAAATTGAGGGACAAGTTCACGTATATACAGGTAGACTTTATAAGGTCTCCGAGGTTTCTTAGAAATAAAGCCTATTCATCAGAGTGGATATTTTGATTTCGTAAACGATAAAAAGTGTTCGTTTGCGAAAAAAATGCAATTAGTTCAGTAGGAGTTGGGATGTCTTGCCATGTACTGAAGCGTTCACAAAACCGCATTAACGTGTAAAACAGATATGTTGAGAACTTTTCTTACAAGATCATATAGTTAAGTTAGGTTATAGGACGCATCCGACGAGAGGATCGCGAGAAAAAGAGCTCTAGTAATTGGATTTTAAGTACTGTGTTTGATTTCTGTTCCCTCCAGCAAATTGTATAAAAGTATTAGATCCAAGGCCTTAGTCATAAAGCTTGGTTAAATCGAAATACATGTAAGTATAAGTTTCTACCTAGGAAAAATTAAATACTACCTTTTTCCCCAGCAAGCTCATTTTGATCTGAAACTCCACATATTTAATTTTATCCCATCTTTTTCTCATTTCAGGGTCTTCTCTGGGCTTTGGATGTAGGACTTGTGAACACATTGGAGCAACCGATACGCCGTTGTGGCCCAAAAATCGTAGCAATCAACACCGCTGACAACAAAGTAGTCAAGATCATCGACATGAATGATCTCGTAACGTCTGAGTCTCGCCTGCAGTTCATAGTGGTCGATTACTCCAAGGACAATAAGCCCTTCGTATATGTTGCCGACGCGGGAGCACGCAGCATACTCGTCTACGATATAGCTGGCGATAAATCGTATCGCATCGTTTTACCCAAAGCCACTGCCCCAACTACCACCGACGTGCTTTACATGGCACTCACCGCCACACCGGATGGTACATCGACTCTGTACTTTACGTACTTGAGCTCTCCACGCCTATACTCCATACGCGGACAGTATTTGCGTGTTGGACAGGGTGCTGGTTCGATTGTCGATGTGGGCGCCAAACCTTATGGCAAGCAAATGGTGCTGCTCGGCGCCGACGGTGGCACAAACTTGTTCTTCCGTTACAAGGGTGAAAACGACATTTATATGTGGAACTCGGAGACTTGTTTCAAGGCAGCCAATTTAAAAGATGTACAACATGGTGGTGATTGTCGTCTCTCGACACAGGTTGGTTGTAATTATAGTAATGATTTGGGAGCTGAAATGATAAGCAAATTTTGTATTATTCTTCTTAAAACTTCAGGTGCTACCCGGTCACAGGCGGTTCATGTGGGTTTTGGAGAGCAATTTCCATGATTTCATTTCGGAGCGAACGGGTTGTAATGGCGCATCGATTGTTCTACATCCCATAGTGCGCCAATGTGATGATTGAGGGTCGAAATGTGGATGTAGTTTTAAGTAAATTGTTTAAAGTTTCTAAATATGTACTTTTTTTTGGAGTTCGTAACTTATGTCCGTCTATTTATAAAGCTTTTCATTTTTGACTGATTTTCTTGAAACACGGTATTTTGATTTGATTTTTGGATATATTTTTAGTTTTCTTATTGCTATTTTTTCGTACTATCGTCACTATCTTCCTTTTCTTCTAACAATTCTTATTGAACTGTTGAACATTTTTAAAGAATATTTACGGAAAAAAATATTTTTTTTAATATTTTAAAATAAATATTTAATTTGTTTTGATAACATTTTGGGCTTTAATATGAAGATATAGAAGAAATAGAATATAAATTAATCAATAAACATTAAGATTTTTGGTACCTATAATATGATATAATCACTGACTGGGAAGATCGTTATGTGAAGCCTTAAAGAAGTATGAAGGTATTTGGATCACTTTTAGAAGAAAGTCTGTAACGTTATTTGGGAACCTTGCGTTACTATGTTACTGTATACAACTTTAGGGTTTGAGCTCGGTAAGCCCTGGTCAACAACCAGAACAGAGTGCCGTAAGAGGTGCTCTAAACTACTTACTTTTCGCAAAGTTTATCTCACCGCACTTGTTGCTGTTCTTATAAGAAGGGTTTTGGCAAAACTATATGGAGGAAAGCGATTTGGAATCATTGAGGCATTTTCTTCGTTACAGTCCAGCATTTTCTAGACTGATGTTGCAATATCTCGTTAGATACAACTTCGGCAAACCTTGCGAATTGGCTGGGATTAATATTAGCAGATTCAAAAAATTTCTGGTAAAAGGGTCTGATGAATCATATCTAAGAGTTTTGGGTATTAAAAAGGACCAGTATTCACAGGTGTTCAAGTGGGATATTGATATAACTTTGGTGCAAGTTACAACCCAACGATCTAACCTATCCAAACTTATACAAGGTCAGTTTCGATATGTAGACTTTTGAAATAGCGTTATACAGGAAAGGTCTTTGGTTACTATTGTGTTTTTGTTCTTTTGGAATTTATCATCGCACCTTCCAATAGTGATAGCTTCTCTTTGGTCCAACGCCAGCTGTGGCTATTGGGCTAAGTCAAATTCTTTTGAAGAAATTTGGTATGGCGGCATCTTCGAGCCTTATTTCTTTCGAAATGAGACATTGACAGACTGTTTTGCGGAGTATGATGACATGGGGATTCATCGGTCCGCAAATCCATGTACGATCAAGTCGAAAATGTCCTTCCCCTCTTCTTATCCTTCAATATGTAATCTACAAATGAGCAGCAGACTGACCAACAGGAGAGCAAAAAATACCTGTCAAATGGATTTAATACGCGTCGACCGATCCTCGGAAAATAATATCAAAATTCTTCTGCCGGGAGCTCTCAATCAACTCTGATTTGAGGGGCCACGTAGTGTCATTAAAGCAGAAGTGACAATTAATAAGGTAGCAGCAGACGTACTTCAACAAAGTGAGACTTCTTCTAGAGAGTTATGCATCCACTCCGATACTATACAGACCTTGAGCTCGCTCACTAAGGAACTACCCTAAACACTCTGGGCGTCGGGCCACACTGGTATCGTCGAAAACTGTAAAGCCCATCGGCAACCCGCTTGAAAGGACAGCCTTACTCAAATCTCATCAGCATGGGAAGGAGCAGGTGTTCTGTTACCTTCATGCACTCGAATACTGGATCTATGTGGCTCGCGCGAGCTCAATAAGCATTGGTCAGCAACCAACAATTATGGTGTTGCGAAAGCTTTCTGGTTTAGGGTGGAACACAAAAACACAGCAGCCCAAGTGGAACTATTCGTGATCTCACGAATATCAGCCTTTTAACCAAACGAAGCTGACTTTAAAAAATTGGTCCTTTTAGATTACAATTGATTAACACATTTTTAGCATGTGATAGAAGCCATCTCTCTTTAAGTTCTCAGATTTTATTTATATCCACTACAATTACAACAAACCTGTCACAAAAAGTTATCTTCCACCAATTTATGCACAAGCTGCACCATTGAATACTGAACCTTGGGGGCATCTAAACAGCATTGGTACTAATTTTCCACTGGTAGCACTAAGCTCACAGATGTAGTATATACTGGCATCACCAGGCCATGCGCCCTTATCACCGGCAGCAGAGCAGCTAACAGCCAGATTATAGCAAGCTACGGTGAAGGCGAACACACAGCCTTGCTGATTAACCGAATACCGTTTAAGAGGGCCGCATCTATGGCGCGTATATGTACCGCTGCTAGTGCAATCATAGAAATTTCGGCAGTCGTATGGATCGGGAAAGCGACCGGTCGTTTGGCATTTAAATTCGGACATGGTGGTGATGACACCAAAACCATTGAAGCCGAAACCATTGAAACCAAATCCATTGGAGCCAAAGCCATTGAGACCAAAACCACCGGCCCCATTGCCTTGAGGTAGGAACCACGCCTGTGTTGAAGTGGTGATGCAGACTGTGAGAAGAGACTTTAAAAGAGTGGTGTTTATATGCCTTCTCATTTAAATGTTGGTCGAAGAGAAAAACGCTACTTACCGAAATCCAAAGTTTCGTGAAGAAAGTGCTCCACATTTTCCGTTATTCCCACTCTTGGTGCGTGCTTAAGCTAGTAGCGCTCGCAATTAATGGGTTCGCGGATTTTGATTCGCTTTTATGGCAAATTAAACTAAATTAGTTATTGTTATATTACCAAATTTATCTGAACATGTGTCGAAATTAACCGTTGTACAATTTGTTGCGATTAAAAATATTAATTAACTTTTTATAACTCAGATTGTACTCATTCGGGTATACAGGGTCCGATGAAATAATAGTACAATGTTCGACATGATTCGGTTGTAGGTAAAATAAATATTTATGGAACCTAAAGACTTTAGAAGGTTGAAGAAAGGAGTACACATCAAGGTCATGAGATCCACAAAAAAAAAAAAAAGGAAATTTTGAGACTTTATTGGAAATTAAATTTGGGAAGGTCCCTGAGAAACATTACATATTTGGACCTAAAATATAGAGACATATAGTATATTCAAAAAACAAAAAGATATTCCGCTTTCCAAGAGATCTCCATTATGAGTTATTATTAGCTTGTCCTTCAACAGAAAATATATAGCTTGAAAGCTGTCAAAATTTCAGGAATGAACCCTGCATTCCTACATAGTTTGATGAACCTAAATATGTATACGATTCAGTTTTTAAGACGAGCCTCTCCACAACTTTTCTGGATAGATACCCACTGTGTGAATATTCGAATATGCAGATCTCGGAAAGTGTACCAGCATTGGAAGATTTCCAATTTCGCTTATTATTACATGCTTTTCGGAATCGGATTACAAGCAGAAAGACACATGACCATCAACAGAGCAGTAGAATGTCACAGTGTTAAGATCCAGTCAGAAATGTGGGAAATGTTGAAGAAGATAGCGATGAAGGACAGATGAGAACCGTGATGCTGTTCTCACGGCAGTCGGGTCTACGTAACTGGAATGGACCCGAATTTTTTAACTGGTCAAGGACTGTCACCTCGGCAGAATTCTGCCGCTACAACAACAACAAAAAGAATGTGATGACATGGGCGCCAGATGGGTGTTGTAAAGGATGGGGATAGGGCAGATTATTTCTCTGAGGTTGGCGTCGAAATTGGTTCCGATGGAAATAATGTAGGCGAGGATAGTGATTTAGATGACGGCAATGTTGATGGCATTGGAACGGGTTTCGGTGTAGGAAATATCAATAATACAAAACAACTTCAACAATCAGGTGGTTTAATCAGGTGGAAGCACAGCTTGGGTCACGCAACAACAGGAATGACCACACCATTTATCAGGCAATCGTCGGTTCCTTGGAGCCTGAAGTAATCAGAGAGGTCTCCGACAACATCAGGTCAACACCAGCACAAGATAAGAGTGCCTATCTAAAAACTAATCTTATTTGTCGAAGAAAAAAGTGCACTTTCATCGTCCAGCATGCAACGTGTCCACGCATGAATCTAACCACCTTTCTGCATGTCCAGCTAACCCTACACATCTGATAGCCGGTTCCCTATGGTCCATCGCCGTCGAAATGGCACGGACCTACCATTGGATGACCTCGATGACAATTTATCTGAACCTTAACTATAAAACCGTTATAAAAACAACAAATTTAAAGTCCACAGTAGCTTTGAAGCTACACAACTTTCCTGTACAATCTTCTCATTATACATAATAATCCCTCGCCACAAAAAGTTAGTACCATTTTATAGCAAATTCTTTATTTTTATTATTTATTTACTACTCAAAATATAAGAATATAAACAATTACTTGCCGCATGCACCCAAGACACAAGACACGTACCGAGTACTGAAATGAGTACCCGATGGACAACTGCGACGGCGCTGAACTCCATTCACCGCCGAACAGTAATAGTACTTGGTACAATCTTCTGGATCGGCCGATAAACCAGCCACCAAACATCTGCCAGTGGAAGGTGACATCGTTGTGGTACTGCCAGTACCTGAACCGCTAACCGCTGTTACTGTTGTTACCGCTGTGGGAGATCTTGTTGTGACATCCAATTGTGTGTTGCCTTGTTGACAGCCATAACCGTTAAAGACCTCACCATCAGAACACCGATAAAGCGATGGATAGAGTACACGTTCATCTTGCTGCGAAAGCGCACGACAAATGTAGAAAACATTCGGACTATTCGGCCATGGATGCGCATCGCCAACATTGTCACATTGAAATTGCGGCAACAAGCAGATGGAATCTTGCAGTGTGGCCGTACATTGACCAGTCGCCACATTGAATGCCTTATTACCGTAACATTCCATTGTTACCGCCACCAGAGTGACGCCCGCAAAGTAGCACATGTGATATTTCTGACAATCGTACGGATCGGGGAAGATACCCTGCGAGGTGCATGGAAAATTGCCATCCATTGCGAAGGGATGACACGGTCCGGTCGAATTGCTGCACATGCCGGCACGTGAATTGCAGTAGTAACCCTTGGCGGTGTCGCATATCTCAACGGGGATTGTCATCCAACCGCTGGAGTTACGCACGCATGTGGACAGCAATTCGCATGACTCACAAATATTACCGGTAGTCTGGCGACCCTCACAGGTATTCGTCTCACGCGGTTGTATCTGCGAGGCAGTCAAGGCGAACCACATCGCCAACAGCAGGCTGCCGAACTGGGGAGAGGAAAAGGACAAAAAATAAATAAAATTTCAGTGATAAAGTGAGGTAAGCATTGGTTTTAGTTATATTTATATGAATTACTAAAGACTAAGGATGCAATGAAAAGTTTGTTGAAAGGGCCAATATTCTAGAGAAAGTGGTAATTTAGAAAGATCTAAAGACATCTTCGATGTGCTCTGGAAAAAACTCCGAGCCTTTGCCTTACGAAAAATTTTCTTCTAGTTTTAATAACGAAAGGCTTAAAGAGAGGTTTCTAACTCGTTTCTACTTTCGTGTTGTTCTTATTTTAAAATGAGTAGGCTATATATCAAAATAATCGCGATATATTTCGAGATTAAAAATCCTAGAAAACGAGTTTATTCAAAATTCCTCAGTTGGGCTATTTAAAAAAGGATTCTTCATAAAACTTTCAGCTTATCCATTAAAGTGTTCAAAAGCTTTGTACTACGGCTTTCAATGGTCGATAACGGTTTCAGTTGCACTTTTCCATTCGCCACTACACTGACTTCTATTACCGATCTCAGAATTTCGGAGTTAAACTCGCACAAAACTTTGAGTCAAAATAAATATCTTACAATTATTCAGAAAATTGTATTTGAAGAATATATTTTAGCCTTTAGGAAATAGTTCGACTACCCTCTGCTGATTTTTATATATGTATTTTAATATATCATATACTCGTATACGTATACTTTCTTGCCACGCATGCATCTTACCACGACCACTGAATATGTATTAGAAAATCTCATATTTTCCTTTATTCCAAATCGTAGTACTTTTATTAATTTGAATTCTCGAATAAAAATTGTTTTTTGACACTTTCTTAGTACACACAATATTTAGCTTTTAGTAACACTAATTACAAACGTTGTAAATTTCGCACATTAAACACTTTTTGAACTTCTTCGCGTTATCTGAGTTAACTTTTTCAAAACGATCTTGCGCCTACGAAGTTTTTTACCACTCTGAAGCAACTTCTTGCAAGCATCCCAAATAAAAGCTCAATAAAATACTTATAGGCCATCATATTCTTATTGAGAAATATATGCATGTCGATAAGTAGATAGATATATACATGTAGTTATGTATAATGACTCATTCTGCGCTTGGTTTGTTTGTCTTTTAAACGCTATCAGTAAATTCAAAGCAGCGCTGGCGTGAGAAATCTTTAGAAAGTTAGATTAAATATTTATATTGCCGAAATGTCGAAATGCTTCGAGATGGCTCTAATGAAGGCGCATGGTCGTAACGAATAATTGCCGAAGTTTATTTGGCAAAATAACTTTTCACTTTGCTTAGCAAATAATAGACCATTTAATGGTTTTTTAATAAAATTCTGTAAAAGAAGTGTAAAAGAAGCATGAGTTAATATTTACACTAATTAAAATTTTAATATATATTTATTTACCACATAGCAACGATATATTAACTTATTTTGTTCGATATTACAGTGCTAAAGCGCTATGTTGATGAGAGTCGATAATTTTTTAAAGCAAAATAATCGTAGTAGGAGGAAACCTAATGGAAAAGGAAAATAAAATAATAATAAATATAAAAAAATATAAAAATATTTATTTTATCCTCGATCTGTGGCCAAGAAGAGGAAAGAAAGGGGTTGCTTGAATTGCGTTAAAAAACGGTACCTCGTGGTAGAAAGTTAAACGGCAAAGTTGTAGGTAATAAAACAATCTAGAACTTTCGTGAATCCAGAATTTTTACATAAAATTACACTTTATTTTAAAAATTCAAATAATCAAGTATATTTTTATTATTATCTTTAACAAAAAACTTTTTTCTTTCCGGAAAGTTGAGTTTAACTAACATTTTTATGTCCCAGGTCTCAGATCGCCCGTAAAATATTTTCTTTTCATTTTACTTATTTTATCTACCTTTTCCTACTATGCTCTGTTCACTCTTTACTCTTTCCAAAAGCTTCACAAATGGCCTTATAAAAACTCCATATATTTCGATTTGCCAAGAGGTTGGAGGTGGAATCTTAGCTCTTTTCCTTATTGCTGAGCAAAGATAGTGCCTTTTCGTCAATGGAACTGCAAAAAAAATAGCCAAAATATGTGGAATTGTAGTTGCGAAAGTGATAGATGCAATCACCAATCTTCCTTCCTGACCTTTCTTTATTTACCTTTATATGTGTTTATACATTATTCTTCTATTAACATTTCTGTTAAGATAACAGCAATATTTAAAAGATTTCATTATATAATAAAACATTTTAAAACACAAGATACGGTTTACGCGAAAGACAAATTCAAATATATTAAAACGAAACAATAACCATAAAGAAACAATTGGCGGAAACAGAAATAATTATTCCATACGTTAATTAAATTATGGTTTGGCAGCACTTACGATAGTGTCATATTATTGACATTTTCTCATGTAATACATTCATCACTTATTGCCACATATTCCCTCACTCATATCAGTTTTTCTGTCAACTCTCACGTAAAAAATGTAAATATACCTGACAGCTCCATAAAAAATTAAATAATTTCTGCAGTAATCATGGAATTTCTGCACGAATCAATTGCGCTTGGTGTTGATTTGTTAATATTAGGGATATGTGTTAAAGAATATGTCACCTACAAGCAAAATGTGAACTGTCTCAAGGTTAGTGCAGTAGCCAACAGCTGATAGTGAGCTAGAAATTTCACATAAATCGCATGTGCTTTATGCTTTCCAGGCTGCACCACAACTGGCTATAGATAGTGATCTCAAGAAATATGTGGCGGCACAAAAGGATAAAAAGATACCGTATGCTGTGGTGCGCGGCACGGTCACACCAATTGGTGTGCCTATGCGCAGTGTTATGTCGCCTTCCGTAACTGGTGTCTTGCAAATAATCAAACTGAGGTGATAACAATTATTTTAACGCTATTGTTGTTGTACAATAATTTAGAATTTTTCAATTTCTAGTGAACATCGCGTAACGCGCGGCTTTGCCGGTTTCTGGACCGAACAACGCAAACTCATACATGTGTCGTCGAACGAAATGCCTTTTGAGTTGCGCAACAACGAAAGTGGCGTTGAAATCATTGATGCATTAAGCGCTGCTGTGCTTGATTTGGATGTGGTGTATGACAATTATGAGCCTTCCTCGCTTTCGTTTTTCGATCATGTTTTCGGCTTCTTCTCCGGTGTCAGACAAAAAGGTCTGCAGACAACCGAAGAAGTGTTGCGTGATGGTAGTTTCATTACAGCGATTGGTGAATTGGAGTTAGATGGTAAAACGTTACGTTTGCAACCATCGCCAGTGGGTCCACTCTTTTTAACGACCGCTACCAAATCTACATTAATTAAGAAATTTGAAGAGGCTAAATCATCCATGCTGTAAGTGTTACGGTTCAACCGCAGCTTTCATTTTTTATTTGATTTGTATAGTTTTAAAGAATCATATTTTTTTGTTTGGTAGCGTTAAAATCTTTGTCTGCTCCACAATCTCAGCTATACTAATTGGTTACATAGTACGTAAACTGTACAACAAAAAGAAGCAAGAACGTGATGAACGAAAAATCAAAGAAACTCTAGAGAAGGAGCGGCGTGAGAGGCGCGCCCGTACACGACCACTCAATCTTACCACTGAGCAGTTGTGTGTGGTATGCTCAACGAATCCCAAAGAGGTGAGTGAGTGTAAACAAAGTAAATTATTGTACAGGACTGTCATTTATGCGTTTTTGTTTACATTTTTTATACCAAGAAATGACATTTTGTTTAAATATTATTTTTACAGGTGATAATATTGCCTTGTGGACATGTGTGCATCTGTGAAGACTGCTCCGAAAAGATTCGTGTTACTTGCCCCGTATGCCGTGGCAAAATTGCGACAAAAGCTGCTGCTTTCATCGCTTAATATAAAATCAAAACAATGGTTGCTTATACTTACATACTAGTATATAAACATCGTAAAATCTGCATTGCACACGCTGCAATAAAGTGATTAGTTACATTAAGTGCGGGCACAACTTTTTGACTTGTTGCAACAAATGTAACAAAACTTAATTTATTTAATAATTAATTAGTTCATGGCATAGTAACAATTTATAAAATCTTTGGAAGGTATTAAGGTACAAACAAGTGTGTGTAGTAGTAAAGTGCCGTTATGTAGGTACAATTTCAAACAAAAAACGGTACAATAAATGCATAAAAACAAAATTAAATTGTTAAGTCTTTATTATAACGGTTTTACTTTTCCATTATTTGTTTGTATTTGCGTTGATCTTCAAGCATTTGCAGAAACACTCGATACTTGCGATTGTGATAGTCCGCAGTGGATTTTTTCGGTTTTAACAGTACACCAGTGCCGCCCATTTCCTTCGATGTAGCCTGAAATGTCATTCAAAAAAGATTAGAGCAAAAATAAGAATAAAACATATTTTCTTCATTATATGAACGAAAAAATTCGGTCACCTACCTCTAAATTTCCATAAACGTTAGCGGCACATGCGCCCAACATGGCGGCGCCGACCAATACCATTTCCTGCTCATCTGGTATCACAGCGGCTAATTGACAGATATCGGCGTGTGCTTGCACATACACGCTGTTCTTTGCTAGGCCACCACAAAACAGCATACTGCTGTAGGGCACACGCTTATATTTCTCGACGAGGTTATCAATAATGTGACGGGTGCCATACTATTGATAGAAAAATGAGCATAAACATAGAGTTCAAGTGCTTTCATTTTTTATAAATAAATAATGATGTTACTCACAGCTAATGCTTGCACAAATGCCAAATATAAGAACGCCAACGACTCTTCATCGGCGTTCATATTGAGACCTGATATCTAAATTAATTAAGTATTAAATGACGATAGTTAATGTAATATTTTTATATGGTGAAAGTTGTATAAGCAAACATATTTGATTGACACTTTTATTACATAGGCAAAAAGGTACTAAATACTTACCATGCCTCTCAAATTGGGATCAGCGATAGGCGAACGATTGCCATGAAAATCTGGCCAAACATGCAATTCATTGGTCAGAAAGCAAATATCATCGTAACCGCGTTCCAAACGCATCTTCTCCAAGAGATTATTTAAATATTGATATATGTGCCTGAAATGTAAAAGGCACCAAAAACGTTGCAACAAAGGCCAAACCATGCGAACTCACTCATTTTTGCCTAATTTCGCTTGTATGTCGGCATATTTTGTATGCGTTTTTACAATGAAGTCCAATAATATGCCAGCAGCGCTCTGACCACCCTCGTTGAGGTAGTAATTCGGCAGTATGGCACCGCGGTAAGGACCCCACACACCATGTGCCAGGCAAGGTTCGCGTGTCAAGCTCATGTGGCAGGTGGATGTGCCGCATATAAGCGCCAATTTGCCTTGAAGATTCTCCAATGCTGCTTCCAGTGGCTTATCACTCGCCTCCAATGCGGCACGACAACCAAACATGCCCAACGCACCGGCATGTGCGTCAATTAGCGAGGTGCCAACGATTGTACCAGGCAGTAGTGAGAGCTCTTTGGCAGCTTGCGCTGTTAAACCTATTGTGTAACGATATAAATTTTATTGCTTTAGATACGTGTTTAAAAATTAGTTTTTAATTACCTGTGCCCACCGCCGAACCCGGCTCACAGATACGCTGTCCAATTATTTCATAATCATTTGCGCATAAATCATTCAAGCCGATTTGATTTAAAAAATCTGCGCTCCAACGCATATTCATAGCATCATAATTCCATTTGCAAACCACCGAACATAGCGAGCGCGTGTCAACGCCGGTGCTGCGCCATGTAAGAAAATCGGGCAGATCAAAGGCACGCCAGACTTTACTCCATGTACTTTGTAGATTCTTTTTCAACCACAATAATTTCGGTATTTCCATCTCCAGTGACACCTGTCCGCCGACATATTGCAGCAGCTCGTGTTTGGTCGCATTAATAAGCGCGGCTTCGGCATGTGCACGATGATCCATCCACAATATGATATTCTGCTCGCTTTTGCCGGTGCGACTGACAGTGAGAGATTCACCATTTTTGCCCAATATCACCAAGGAGCAGGTGGCATCAAAGGAGATAGCTTTAATGCTTTCCTTCTTGGCGTCTTTTGTGACTTCCTGCGAAAATATTTTGTAGAATTTAAGTATATAGTTTATTAGAAAAAATAATTCAATATAGTATGGAACACTTCGTTTTCACCGAAGCTAGAATAACTCAGAAATACAAAAGATGGGTTGGTCAGAAAATTTAATTGAAAATAAGGTTGGCATGAATTATTGACCAAGGCAGCGGTACAATCTCCGACCAAATTTTTTTGATCGGACGACTATAGCATCTAGCTGCCATACAAAATCGTTGATTAAAATACAGTTCTTGTATGGAAAACTTTTTCATTTATACGATGTCTTCACGAAACTTGGACACCGATTATTGCGGTGCAATCTCCGAGCAAATTTTCTAGATCAGATCACTATAGCATATAGCTGCCATACAAACTGTTTGATCAAAATAAAGTTAATATTTTAAGGATTGTTATTAAAAAAGTACCGGTGAAAAGTGCTGCCAAAGCTAACGTGTTTTTCTTATTTTTAACACCTTTCAAAAACTATTGTGTTTTATTATATTTACATAATGTATTTTATTTTATTATTACACTTCAAGTTATCAACAAATCAAACAAATGCAACATTTTCTCCATCGTATTCGTAAACAATTGTCTATAATCACTGTAATCAAAATATAAAGGTTATACACGAAGGTTAAACTCACTCTTTATCGGCAAAACACAAAACAATATAATATACCAACGACACTAATTCATCTAATCTTAGGAAAAGTTGAAATTTGACTCCTGCGTTTAATCTTTTGTTTAAAAATTCAAATATTAACCGCATTCTCATTAAACTAAGTAGAGGATTTCCAAAAGTTATTCTAACTAGTTTTTGAATTTTTTTTTAATTATATATTTTTAAATGGGTTAGTAGATATTTAAACCTTACTTATGGATTGTCTTTTTTGCTGCAAATATCGCTCAATTTCATCTCACCTTCACACAATGACACACTGCACTCCAAATATCCTCGGATGATTGTTCATAGTAATCGCGCTCGGGATTCCAAGTCTGTATTGGTCTCACATACTGCTTCAATACCTTTCCCTTCAAATCGACCAGTGCAGCACGGGCACTGCCCGTGCCTATATCAACACCTACAAAGAACGTTTCGGTCATTTCGAGCTATGTGAAACGTGTTATCAATATTCCTCAGGTGACGCAAAGCAAACGTTAAAAACCGGTCTAAGTGTTTTTTCAAATATATACGCAATTTTTACTTATAATGTCCACCAATAGTACACTACTTAACTCCCCGACTGGTGTCAGCGATCTGAAAATGTTGAGAACTTCTAGCTTTCGATTAACCTGCTGCTACACGCCTTTTGCCATGTTGTAGTTTCGTTTTAAAGCATTATCAGTCAAAAAATTTGCGTCAAAATATTTAAGCTAAAATATATTGATAAAGTAGATCTAGACTAACTAGTTTATTATTTAATTATTAAGTTTATTAGTAATTATCGCGTACAAGCTTATGTATTGCCTTTTGTTTCTATATTTTTATTGAAAGAGAAAATTTAGGAATTTGCCACAATCTGATGTAATCGCAGTAAGTACTCATAGAGCTCAAAGTGTATTCGTGCGATGTACCGGTGGCACCTGCTCTACGTAGGGGGCTATCAAAGAAGTGTAGACAAGAGCGTAAATAAATTGAAAATATTAGTTAATCACTCTTAGAGCTCATAAATTGCTCCCCATGCAAGTGATATGGGCAGAAGTGTTTAATTGTACACAGCTTTGAGAAACTGGTGGCAGCTAAGAGCTTCATTACAATTATTCCCACATATGTTCACTCCTATGTGCTATAGCTAGTGTATAAAACGTTTAAGCTTTTATTTGAACATATAAAATATCAATGCAGCTTCCATTACATGCGCCCAGGTTGTTATACACGACAGAAAGTATCGGTAGCGATTCCGGTTAAAGTGATTATACGTAAATTTTCAAACCTAACGGTATTTTACCTTTGTGGAAACTTTTTTAATCCCTTAGTCGTTGTTGTAACGACCGAAAATATCACTTAAGTAATTTGGATTCCATTCCACTTCTCGATTCTCGGGGGAACGGCGTAATACTTTTAATTTCGTAAAGTTACATCTTGAATATTTCGGCAATTGGTCCCGAGGTAAGTACAAACCCGCGTTCACTAATGAAAGATTTACGTAGTTTGACCGTGGTGTATTTTTTGTAGATCACTTTCTCTGAAAATGGGATCTTAGCAATATTACTAAGTTCACCTTTGCTTAGAAATAGTAGCTTTTTGGTCTACTCACTATTAACGCTACCGCAAAGTAACTGTGTGGTATACCGTTTTTTGCTAGTGCTCCAATTACCTCGGTGCTCCTCTAGAGTACATTCCTTCAAACAACCATTGAAGGAAGATGGGGTCCGCCGGGCCAAATCGGCTGCCTTTTCGTTTCCTTCTTTGATGATATTTAACGAGTTACACTGCGAGTCTAGTTATTGTCTTTTTGCATAACTTAAAACCGTGAACTTTAATATAGGAGCTACGAATAGCCTTAATTGCTGCTTCGCTGTCCACTTGAAGGTTTATGGATTTGCTGGTTACAGCAGAAGCCCATTTGACGCCTTCTCTGCTATGCCAACAATTTCGGCTTGAAAGACTAAATTTGGTTTGAAGCTATATTCATCAAAGCCCCTATAAAGTATGTATATAAATGATCAGCTTGACGAGTTCAGTCGATTTAGCAATGTCCGTCTGTCTGCCCTACTGTCTTTCTGTATATATGTTATATTATATATTTTATTTGTGAAGGGCGTTCTAACTTCTCCGCAATCAAGGTTAACGTTTTTTGTGTTTTAATTCAAATTTAAAGTTTTCGCCAGATTCTTTTAATTCAAGACCTGGCAACCTTCGCTATCTGACTACGAAACAGCTGATTTATGTTTATGTTCGAAAATCAACAAATCAACGTGATATTCTAACAAAAATGGTGAGGATCAAAAATCGGTAAATAATTAATGAAATACCTTATATACTCATCTAAATATTAACAATTTTTAGTTATGTAGTAGTCAGAATAGTGCCAGAAAAACCGACGAATATACTAAAAATTGACGATGCCGTACTAGCAAAATCTGTGCTACGCAATGTGAAAAAGTACTACGGTGACTATGGGCTAGGGACTGTGGAACATGGTTTTCGCGTGAAATACTGTAATGAACGCACAAAAATAGCCATAATGAGATGCTTACATCGATCACATCGTACCTTGACGAGTACGCTGCCGTTGATAACTATGGTTGGTACATGAGTATAAGTGGCACTAAAAGAAAATAAATATTTATCCTAATATGTAGATCGGAGATGTGCGTGCAAAATTCCATACGCTCTACGTCGGTGCTACTATAATACATTGCAACAAATTCATAATAAATCACCAGCAAAGATTTTTGGACGAAATGGTGGGTCAAATTGCGTCTGCGAAAGAACGCAAGGACTTCATCAAACGTGTTATGGAATTCGATCTAGAGCAGTAGCAACGTTGATGCGCTTCCATAGCAATTAACAATTTATCGTAGAGTAAATAAATTTACTTTTTTCTATATTTTTTTTTTGTTTTTATTTACACCCATGGTAGTCTAAAGCTATAAGAAAAATATTACATTCATACATATTTAGGTGGTATATGAATTTAATAAAGCACCGAAATAAATAAAGTGCTTTCTAGTTGGTAATACATACATATGTATACTATAAATTTCTATTTAAATGAATTTTACATTTGATTCATTTTTTATCTCACAAAATATATTAATTACTATTAATATTACTCACTACGGGCTAAAGCCAAAACTACAGCTAAAAAGAGTTTGTTGTCAAATTGAATTACTCGCAATTGCTACACTAATTTTGGTATCGTTATAGTAACAAAGATTTACAAATTAACTAATTAATGTACCTTTTCACGTGAAAGATATTAATAAATTTTTACACGCCTAAACTTCTACTAAGAACTTGCGGCTTGAAGAACGCTCCCAAACTCTGAAGGCATTAAGCGCATACTTGAACTTTTGTTGAAAATCTCGCATAGTCATTTTGTGTTTTTTGCTGTACACATTTAAATATATGCCCAACACAACCACTAAACCGGACCAGAGATATCTGCAAGTAGAAAATAATATTTTAGTTTTATTTAGTATGTTTATGCCGCTTTTCTCGTATTTTTTAACTTACTGCCAGGTAAATGGTTTGCTGAAGAAAACAAACGATAATGCGATTGTTACAGCTTTTCTTGCTGTCGTCACGGTGGCAGCTACTGGCGCGCCACTGCTTCGCACCAAAGCCAACACAAACTGGATGCCCAGATAACCTGATAAACTGAAAAAGAAGCCATAGCCAAAAGTTTCCACTATGTGCTAGAATGCAAAAAAGAATGAACTATAATTATTTAATATATGTATATGAAATTTTCTCTGAAACTAACCTCAAGACAAAAGGCGAAACCGCTGAAAAAATTACCAGTCACCATCAGTATAACCAGAAGGTAAATAAAGCCCAACCCATAAGAATAAAGCACAACTTCACTGCTGGATGCTTTATGTTCGCGCATTGCTTTTTCCTGCACATTTCCGATAGCTGCATCACAAAGCAGTGCCGCTGATATCATAGCGACACCGGTAAGATCGAAATTCGGTGAGACCTGCGAATCGGCTAGCGTGAACCAGGCCAGTCCAATGCACATGGCGAAGGCAGCAGCAAAATCAAGTGGCCCATAACGCTTTCCTTGTATCAAGATGCTGCCCACCAATACTGGTATCAATTTGCAACATTTAAATATCACCTGCGTGGGGTAATTAAGATAGCCCAGACTAGAATTCGACAGTCCCATAGTTCCGAGTGTTAGTGCGGCTAGTAGAAAATAAGTACGCATTGGTATACGACGATCAGATGTCTCAACACTACCTCCTGGTAGTAATTGAGCTCTACGTCTAGTCTCTAGATCACGTTCAATTACACCGAAACAAATGTAATAACCGAATTGGACAAGTGTGAGAAACCATCCGTACGGCTTAAAACCTTCAACCGTAAAAATTAATTCCTGCAGATACCCATAAATAAGGTATAACACAAAAACACCTGCACAGCTCAAAAGGAATTGTGTGGTGCGGTTGTAGTAGGTAAGATTAAAGCAAAGAATTCGCAATTCAGGTGGATTATCGGAGTCGGTTGATGTTTTACTGCCGTTACTATTCACTTTAACCGACGCCATTTGTAAGCTACTCTATATTTTGTTCAATTTCATTAACGCACTTTTCATCACCGGCAAATTGTTGGCAAAAACTTTTTATATGCTAATGAATTCTAAGCAAAATCTTTGTTTACCTATCAACCGCCACATTTACATTCCTTCTAACTTCGAAATTCGATTATTCAAGATGTTCTACTAAGGGCCGAAAACACGTTGATATTAAGCGTGTTGTTCTGAATCGGTGTGTTCGATTATTAAAATGAATTTTAGAATTAATCACCTTTTATCAATTGATTTTAAATATTTTAATAATAAAATATAGAATAGCCATTATAATTTAATTTAATATTTTTAATATACCACCGCAAATAATTAATAAATTTTACTTCACCCGAAATTGATGTGGCAACCTATGTATATGAACTGGAGAAAATTGAGAAAGGAAAGACGAAGAATAAACTGACAGTGATGTCAAATGGGATATTATCATATATTTTCAGTTTGTTCTTTGATCGGTTGAGTGAATGCAGTTTAATATTTCGCACGACTCAAAAGTTAACAAGTACAATAAATAGTTGAGTAATTAGTTTCAATTTGAGTGCGTGAAGTAAAACGACTATGCTTGTAAGTGTGCGAAAACATCGGTAAAATAAATTTTCTTCTATCTATAACAGGTTGGTCGTTTCGTTTCACCAAATTTTATTAATTAATTGCGCATTGGGCAGTGATTTGTGGTTTTAATGCTACTAAATTAATATAATGTTGCTGATAACTAAATTGTGTTGTGAAAATACATATACATATATTGTTATAATCTGATTTAATTGAGTTGGTTTGTGTTTATTGCTTTTTTCTAGTTGGAGTTTTATATTATATATCAAATATAAAAGCTGTGGAAAACCGGTTTAGTGTCATTTTTTGTTGCTGCTGAAAAAAATCTGCGATGATGCTGTAATGCATAAATAATGCGAAATTACTAATAAGTCAATAAAAGATTGGTGAAAAGTGTTAATGTATGCAAAGAGAAAGCAATTTTTTTCAAAGTAAACGAAATATTAAAATATCAATAAAGATATTTTTATGAAAACAATTAAACCAATGCTAAGTGAATACATTATCATTATATTACAGAAGCATTACTTGTGATATGAAGTAAAGGTAGGTGTCTTGTTTATGCCTATAAGTAGTTACCTAACGAAATTAAACCCGAAAAATATGCATTATCACATAACTATTTGCAAATTTTTAGTTTCCTTCTGCAACCATATGTAACAATCAAGTTATTTGTTTCGAAAAGAGCTGCTTCTCCACAGTTTACGCTTTAGGTAATTAAGTGCTCTAGCCCAGTCAATTAAAAAATCGCTTTCGCCATTCCACTTCTTTTCCATTCGTTTAACAAAGTATTTTCTCCATTTTGTTTATTCTTTATATTCTGCTTGGATTTCTTTAGATAGTGTTTTTTTTTTGCTTTATTTTTTTAAATTACTCTGTTCTTGCGTACGTCTTTATCGGGTACAAGTGGTTTAATGTATTTGTTTGTTTGTATGCATGTGCTATATGTAGCTCATGGCTTTCGCTTAGAAGCACGACTAAAAGATACTTCTGCACATATGCTTGTGCATAGATTCCTTTTAAGTATGCGTGTACCATTTATGTATGTATGTATGTATGTAAGTATGTAAATATATAATGACCTTAAAATAGGGCGAATTTAAAGGGACAGAGGCGTAATTAATGTGAGGGTGGGTGAGTGTTTAAGTATATGTGTTTATCTGTACGTTTTTAATGCATTCTATGTCATGCTGCTGTCAAAATTAAACCCATAAGAACGAAAAAGAGCTAAATGTTTCTCCGTGCAGAAGATTGGTTAGTTTTGTGCGCTTTTTTGTTTTTTTGTGAAATATATTTAAATTACTACGTGTTTTTATTTGTAGATAAAAATGTATCGTTATTTGTGAAAAATATGCTGTACAAAGTGCAACTAGACGTTTAAACGTTTTTCTAATTCGTCATGTTAATCTGTTCAAAGTTGTACAAGTTAATTAACATTACATTTAAAAACTTATTTGTTTGCTAATATTATCTACGTTCATAATATTTCTAAATTATAATTGCCTTATCATAAAAAAAATTTTATATACAATATTTTCCTTATAAATCATAATCCGACATACTACATGTGAGTTTTTGTTTGTTTCTCATGATAAAAAAAATCCACCGCAATAACAATTTTCTATGGAGATGCTGTGCGCAGTAGGTACAAGTTGGTACATACGTAAATACATATGTATATTGATGTATTAAATAAACAAACACCCCTCAGAAACCGCCCAAGCGGTCGCTGATTTCAATTGATTGTGTCTGCCCGCATAGTTTTTATTTAAAAAGAACATTTCCATCGTGCGCTTGGGGAGTGTCTAAACGCTTGCGGCATTGAGAAGAGAAGGACGCACGTCCACACATACATACATTTGGACAGACGTATGCATAGAAAATGTAATGCATTCAAACGGGAAATACTAGTTCATCATGTGAGAGCAATGCCGCATGCCATAATGTAAATGAAAACCGCACTGCAGTACATATAGTACGAGCAGAGAACGTATATTTATAGAGAAGGTCCAACAACGGACAGGCGTGTAAACTGTCAAAAGCTAACAAAATGCGATGAGTGCATTTCACCACAGCT